ACATACATGTAGGTTATGTTTAATTTTTAAATCAGAGCGTTGCAGACAGATGTTCGAACCCCTGTGCTGACTCAGATTCATTCGTTGCATGGCTTTCTGCCTGCATAGCTATCCTGTATGTTGTGCCCTTTTTGCATTACTCATGTATTGCTGTGGCGGTGACATACATAATTTTCCCATAAAATCTCTGTTAATGGTCTAAGCTGCGTCCTGTATAGTGACCAAGCAGCGAAACCGAGTTGAAGGCAAAGGACCACTTTTATCTTGAATGTAATGTCAGCTGTTTCAGGGTGATAATAGCAGAGATGAATGTTACTTTCACCTTTTTCTGTGTTTATTGCAACTTTATCTAGCCTCGACTGACAGACCTGAACTGATGGATCTTTATTTGATGCAGGTTGCCTGTTTCTCTCTTTACTGTGGCCATTTTTGTCTCTGTATGGCACATCATCAGCTAGGGCTTTTGCAGGTAATGTTTCAGTGACAATTTTACTTGAAAGCATATGACCTAGTGTAGATTTTTATGGCCCTGTTACAGATTTTTGTGGCCATTTTTCCATTGAACTGATTTAGTGTTTTGTACATTTGTTTTTTCCTTTAGAATCAGATGCAAAATCCTTTGGAGTGAGCAGAAAGGCTTGCACTGATTTTGGTGATCTTTGGAATGAGTTTTCTTTTTCAAGATAAGATTGATAAGAGAATTGAGACTTCATTTTTTGTTTCGTCCCTTAAATTTCAAAATTAAAAAGGGTCGATTTGATTCTTTAATTTGGATCCACCTAATTCACTTAGAGTACAAGCTGCCTAATGGGACAGAGACATCTTTATGGTGAGTTTGTTTCTTTTGTAAAGCAACCACGAACACACTAATCCTCAGCACATTTTAACTTCATTTAGCTCTGGTCACCTTCTTGTTTAGAAATAAAATATTTAGGCTCTCCTGTTTTGCTACTCCTTCTTGCCCCTGGTGTGACTCGTTCAAAGAGCTCTCTGTCTGGGCCGTTGGAGCAGAGCAGCTTCAGACAGTTCTGCTCAGAGAAGGAAGTGCAGAGTTTTGGTTCTCATTTTGCACTTCTGGAACAGTTTAGGGAAGGAAGCACCTTTACACCTTTTATTATTCGTGGTTGCTGACATCATGTCCTTCCCTGAGCGCTCCGTGCGTGTTTCCGGCCATTCTGTGGAGATTCTTATGTGCTGTAGAGGGAGGGTGTGTGTGGGGGCCAGGGTCTCGAGCACACGTGCGTGCGTCTATGGAAGCAGGGCAGCAGGCCCTGAGTCAGCCATGGCCCTCGCACATTCGTTTGTCCCCTCCTCTAGGTCTGTGTTCTGTCAGCTTGCTCTGTCAGCTTGCTCTGCCTCTGCCAAATCATATAGTGCACAGAAGCCCGCCAAAAGTGAGGTTCCTCTTTTTGTAAGCAGCTTGACTCTTTTTTTTTTTTTTTTTTCCCCTTTTTTTTTTTTGGCGGGTGGGTTTTTTTTGAATTTTTGGGGTTTTTAAAAAATGCTGAAGATGGTAACATCAGAGCATGTAACTATGTATTTCTTTAAATGCAAATTGTTTACATGTAACCATGTCATTATGTTGGAAGGTCTCTTTCATGTGGAAAGCTTTTCAACAAAGCTTCTGGAATTATTTTAAGTTCCTTTTTAGCTTCTCTTGCATAATGAAAGCCTGCAGTATTATTTAAGTTTTGTAGCACTTTCAACTTTTCTAGCTAGGGTGCTTTATTTGTGTTTTGGCACTACAGATCAAACAGTTAACAGGAACACTAAATGCTTAATCTTGTAATCTTTAATCCTGCAAGAACTTTCAGAAGTACTGGGAGCAGTGCTGAAGACCTAAAGCAGCCATGGAGATTTGCCCATGACTCTTTACAATCTGGTTGACTCTGAAGTTGTGCGTCCCCAAGGGTTATCACCCTTGAATCAGATGTCATGATTCACCCCTCCAAACCCCATTGATTTGAGATCAGTTGGACTCTACATTTCTATGTATGAACATGGGTGTCTATCCCCGATAGTGACATGAGCAGAATGTAAACAAACACATATGAAGTAAGGACACAAAGCCGCCTGTGGTGCTCTGAGTATACATGTATAAATAGTAAGACAGATATAGAGTGCTACAGCATTTCCACTTTGTTTCTAGAGGCAGTAAAAATAGCAGAAATTATAAAAAAGGAAATAAATTTGCTTGACAAACGGAATTGTTTTTATTTGAAGTTAAGAGTAGTAAGCCAAAACCAAATGAGAGCGCTATTTTTTTATCAATGAATTCAAGAAAAGGTAACTTGCTGCCTCTCAAAAGTAGAATTACGTTTCTTCACAAACTATATGTTGGGATTTTTTTCTCATTCATTTTTTTCTCTTTCAGCTTTTCTCAGGTTGTACGATAACATTCAATGACAAAATAATCATTGCTCTCTCACCTTTATTTTCCTGCTCCTCCATTTTCCTACTTAGGGTAAAATTAGTGTACTTAATGCATTGCTGCAGGTAATGAAGAATAAAATTCAGCTCATCAAGGGTTGCATGGCTTAGTTTACTATAATTTTGTATACAGCATAGGAATTAAGTGTTCTGACTCTGAACTGCCTATAAAAGTTTTTGTTGCTTGAAGCCTGGAATGTAGAAACCGCTGTGTGTGTCTTAAACGTGGAAGTGAATAACTGTGTGGGAGGGACTCACCATATTGCTGCTCCACTAACATTTGCGTGTGCCCTTCCTGAAAGTTTTTTTTTCTCAGTATTCAGTGATTTTTTTTTTCTGTACTCATTCAGCAGCACAATCCTGATCTGCAAAGCAGCTCTCATCCGTGCTAACCCTGTCACCACTGCTCTAATCTGCCCACCCTGACCTTCCACCTTCAAGTGAATAAGAGCTTAGGCAGGCATAGTGCTGTAAGCCGATAGTGCCATGGGCTCCAGCTCAATGAAAGGAAAGGAAATTGTTCTATACGCGTTTTCTGTGGATTAGCTATTGGCTTACTGTTACAGAGAAAGCCTGTTAGGCTCCTTGGGGTCCTGCATGTGCATGGGAAACACTGTTCTAACTTGCTCTCTGTAGCAGAGGTAAGACTATAGAAAAAACAGGAAAGAGACACAGTTCAGAGGAATTTAAGACTGCTTCTAAAAATAGCCTGGGTTTTGTTTGTCAACACGGAATATAAGATAAGACTGTCTCCTTTAAGAAGAATAAAAAGAATAAAAGAATAAACGTATTTATACAACATTGTGCACTTTTATTTTTATGATAAATATGGACAAGAGCTGTTCAATTCTGGCTTATTAAGCAGTGAAAACTTGCCGAACTGTTTTCAAATGGTGGAAAAGCAGCAAAAAAAATTGCAATCTTTACACTTTATGCTTACAATACAAATTGCTCCCCGTTGTATGCCCTATCCTGCAGCACAGTAAGGGGGTATAAAGAGACATTCATGTACAGAAAGGTAGGGCATATTATACCTTTTACCTATTATCTTTTACCTAAAAATTGAATTGTATCATGCTGGCTGGCTCTAAAATTCTCCAGCCAATTGTTTATTTGTTAACTCATTTTTTCTTAGGTGATAACACACTGAGCATCTTGAAGTTTGATATATGCAAAGAAAATCAAGAGACAATTGAAGAGCAGAATGAGTGAAGCCCAGCTTTTCTACCTCAGTAGCTTTGAATCAGAGCCAAATAATGGATTAAATGGCCAGGACATCAGCTTAGTGTTACATAACATATTGTGGGAATTGAGCAGGTTGTTTGCGAGACTATGAGCTTAAATAAGGAAACGCCAGCGTCTGCTTTAAAATTATTAAATTCTGGTTACCGAATAAGTATTTTTAAATGCAACATAGAGCCAAAAATTAAGATCATCTGAAGCGATTTTCAGATTGGTTTTCTCTTCTGTATTTAAAAAAGCTCTATCCTGTTATGTTCAAAACATGTAAATGTAAAAATATGTCAAACAGTTAAAAACAGAAAAGTGTAAGCATCTTTTAGTATAATTGAACATCATTTATGTATTTTCATGTATTTTATACAGTCTTTCTTGTCTTCAAATTATTTTGCACATGTTTAAAATTGTGATATATGGCATTTTGTGAACTAGGGAGGGCTTAGTGCATCTGTTGTTCTGTGTTGTGTCTAACTGTCCTTAGTTTTGCAGTTCAACTATTATTATAAGGCTGAGGGAGCTAGTATCAGTTCACTGCTAAAACTACAACAATATTTGTTCAAAGCATTCTTCACTTATCATCTGTCCTTATTACTTTGCACTGTGTAGCCTGGTTTCTTGTGCAAAAAAATTCTTATAAGGAAAGATACATGTGTTTGCTAGTTATAAATCACCAACCAGAACGACTCAGAACTCACTCAGAAATGAAATGAGGGAAAACGCACAACTTTTTTTTTTCTTGAAGTACCTTGAATATGTGGGTAGTTTATATAAAGAATAAGTTTATGTGGGTATGTGGGAATAAGTATGTGGGAATAAAGAATAAGTTTAAAGGTTGGAGATTTCAAGTCACAGATGTTTTTCATACATCAAATACCACTTTCATAAAGGTCCATCCTATTTGCATAATGAGGGGCATTGTCACCTCTGCTGTCAAAACACAAGATTGTTTTCCCTTCAGAAATGAATTAGCTGGCCTACTTAGCATACATAGGTATGGAAAGGTTCATTAGCTCTCTGATTTAAGTAATTTTTCATACAAGTGCAGTGAGCGATACTTTAAACTAGAGATACCTAAATCTGTTAAAGTGCAATGTGCATTTCAGTACTTTTACTCATTTCTTGAAAGATTTGAAAGGGTGGCTGTTCATAAGAAGAAAGCTTTGAATAACATTGTACATATTTTCCTATGCAGTACTCTACAGAATGAGTAAATATTTATTATAGTTAACTTGTACACTACGTTAAAATTAGGATACTTGGTCAACTCCCTATAGTAACTTTCATCTGGTTATCAATTTTGTGGTAACGTTTGATTTCCTTTGTGTGTTTAGCAGGGACGGATGCAGGGGACAGTGAACTGAGTAGTGCAAGTGCTGAAGAAGGAGACTTGCTTTGAGGAAACAGGAAAGAGGAAGAAAAGAGAAGGGAAAAATACATAAGTTTAAGGAAGAAGGAGAGACAAAAAAACGGGGACTATGGGGAGAAAAAAGATTCAGATTACAAGGATTATGGATGAACGTAACAGACAGGTAAGTAGCAAAAATTACGTTTTTGAACATCATCCTATATTTCTAGGGTGATGCTATTAGAAATGATTAAAAGGGTGGTGAGTTGGTATATGTACACATATATGCATGTATATGTACACATGTGTATACATACACACAATATGTGGAAGACTATCAAAGAATAGGTACTTTGGAAACAACCAGAAACTTCACATATAGCTATTTCAAGTCTAGTAAAATGAGTAGCTAAGAATATGTCAGTGTAAACCTTGATTCTATAAAGACTGATGCATATGTTTTGCTTGGGTCCTTTTGGTAGTCCCTTTGACTTCAGAGTGCGATATATATGGTTAAGCACATCTGAAAACTGTTACAGGTTTAGGACTTACAGTACTGTATTTTGTGAACAGATCTATTCTGACTTTATTTGCATCAGGAGTTTCTTTTAAATTCATAGATTCAAATAACTCAAGTTTTAACACATTTGCAATATTTTTATTTTTATAATTGCATATCAAAATGTCACTACTTCATAAAAAATTGTTTTTTGATGGCACATGGTATTTAAAAAGAATTAGTGCATTATAATACATTCTAAAATCAACATTCAATAATACTGGCATGTTGCAGTGATGAGACAAAGTTTCCCCTATGCATGCTATGGCTAAATAAGTCTGCCAGGGTTGGTTAATTATTCTAACTATTTTAAACGAAATGGCTGAGTAGCTCAATGTCACATATTAGCAACACTAGCTCTGTTAGTTAAAATAGAATCATAAATTAGAGATATTTTTTCTGAAAGTAGAAAAGCAATCTTCAAAAAAAATCCTTGAAAAGGTATGTTGTTAAGATTCACCAGTGTGAGAGATTGTCCTTATAAATATTTAACCCAATGTCCAGTGTTCTGCTTACATGTGGTTGCAATTTAGGAGTAATTTCTGTGGTTGTTTTGGAAGCACCTGATACTGAGTTAATATTATATTCATTTGACTTCTTCATATAGTCAAGTTGTTTTCTAAGAAATTACATTTTTCTTAGGGTTCAAGAATTTTGAAATGTCAGAGTAAATTCAGTTTAACTTAACAATAAATTGCAACTTTAAAGTGTGCATTCCTAGAATTCATAAATTCTCCAATGTGCAGAGTAACTTGTATTCATTCTGGCAGAAAAACAAGTATGAAGGAAACAATATACAAGAATTTGTGGGGGACACAGTTTGTACTCTCTAAAAGTTGCTTTTTGCCGTGGACCAATCCAAAAAAACAATACCTTTGTCAATATAAACCTACCAGCGTTTGTTTTAATTGGTTTATAGCCTGGAACTGAAATTAACCATTAACTATTAAGACACTTTTTAAAATTATTTTGTAAATAAAGCTATAAAATTTTACTACAAGTACTACTAGTTTATACAATAGCTTCAATGTTGATGTGTTTACTCAAATATTAGACCTATGGAGAACTTAAGCCCCCAGTTCTATGGATCAGAAATCTTTTAAGACAAATAACTTTACTTTTAAAAATGCAAGCACTTAAGACATTCACTGTAGAATTCCAAAATTTCAGAATGAATAATTATCAATAAAAGTGCAACACTGGACTATGAATAACGGAAGCATTAATGCAGAAAGCCCCGTTAGTGTTTGATAATTTATCTCGTTTTGGTTAGCCAGATATGCTGAGAAGCTGAAGGTACCGTTTGCTGTGCTTTAGTCTCCACATAACATAATTGACTTTGTTGTACTTGCCATTTCTATTATTTGGAAACATGATTTAGAAAGTGTTTGTACTAGGATGGTCTTCTCTATAGTTAGCACCCTTACTTAAAGCACAGGGAAGTCAGTGAAAAGATTTTCATTGATTCAGTTGGACTTAGCCACTATAGGTGGCCACAAAGCAACTGGTTTTTCACTAGTAGTTGATTGCCCTTTGAACAGTTCATGAGACATGCTCTTTACAAGCGTTACTGTTTCTTGCTACGTAGTATACTCCGTTAGCTTTGGCTGCTTCTGTGGGAAGCTGCATCATTTGATTAGTTTTCTAATTTATATACTTAGAGTTTAAGTTTGTTATCTTTAAATAATAACTGGCTTATATTCCTATGTTATTTTTCATATTTGATGTTATGAGTCAATTTGAGTATCTAGACTAGATTAAAAAGTTACATAGGAAAAAATGTTAATAGTTTTTGATTAATAAAATCAAGACTCCCGTGGCAGCAGTTCTGCAAAGCTTATTCATGGCTTCATTTACCAGACCATGCAAAGAAAACTATTTAGTTTATAAGACTGTTTTATTTTTCTTCTTCTTACTAGCTAACCAAAAAGAACTGGCAGCAAATCTGTTGACTTGAAAGTGCCTTATTGTTATTTATATTCAAACACAGTATGGTTTTACAGTACAAGGCATGTTAGGTGGGAATATGATCTACAGGGTTCATGTATCCTCAGCTTTTTCAAGCACATAAATTCTTGACGGGGCAGCATATGCAAGGAGAAAATAGATGGAGCATGATTCAGAAGCAAGGGATAGAGCAGTAGCTGAATTCTCCTGCCTTCTCCCATTGCAAGGATGCAGCTGTTCGGGTAAGAGAGTTTCTGCAAAAGAGTTGAAATCGTTACGAAGCCCATGGAAGGTGATTTCTACCCTTGCGCTTCTCATTTGCCCCATGTCCTGACTAACGTTAAGGTTAACCGTTGCACAGAGTATTATTCCTATCAGTAAACAACTATTTTCTTCTGCATCACTGTCTGCCATGGTAGGAGACACCCCTCTTGTTCAAAGTGCTTGTGGGAGCAGATCGGGAGAGAGGGGAATAGGGTTATCCTCCTTAGAAGAGTATTTCTCCTGAGCAATCTAGCTCATTGGATTTGAGCAACTTACCATCCTGATATAAAAAATTAAGTGAAAACAGTCCAAGAGTCATACGTTTCTGGCTGCAGATCTCACTGAAATGTCCAGAAGGTTTCAGGAAAATCTATACTTTTCCTGGAACTATTGAAGCTTTGAAATTTTTGGATATGTGAAAGGAAAACTACTACAGCCTAGGTGTTAGAGACTCAGGCCTGTTCCCTTGGAGCACGTGAGAGCTCTGTTAAAGGCTTCAGCGAGTTCAAACCCCAGGTTTTGGCCAAAGAGGTGCCATTCATGTAATGCTGGTTCCCGTTGGCTGCCAGCCGGCTAGGTTTTTCTGGCACCACAATTACTGTATGGTGGCAAAGGGGGTAAGGATGTTTGACTCTTCTGTGCGTGATGCCAAATTCTCTTCAGGTGTTAAACTTTCAGAAATGCCCATAGCCATCTGAAAAAAACAAATCCTTTTCACTCTGCTTTAGGCCACGGGGAGAAGGAATATAAACAACTGTCAGTTGTTTATATAAATGTGTATTTTGATTACCATCATGGTATTAAATATCAATTAAAACTTTCAAGAGAATCCTGTTATAAGCAGCCAATGTGACTAGAGACTTTCCTTTTATTATTGTGACACTGGATAACATAATCTTGGTAAGTGCAGGCTGAATAACGCATTTTTGGTAGTGCTGCTCAAGCTCATGAGTGTGGTAGCCTGGCCAACAGCCCCTCAAAGGAGGCTATACGCTTGATACTAGTGGCACCAGCAATGGAACTAGTAGCCAAAAATGTTAGCACTGGCATCCGATGTTAGGAGCCCCTAACAGCTACAAGGTCCTTATGCAGGAATTGCCGTCAGATTGGTGAACACTGCTGGGTTGAGAATCCTGGGTTGCATGAAAAATAAAAAAAAAAAGAAGGTGTTTCTAAAACTATGACTGAAAATAATTTTCATGTTTTTTTTCTTTAAATTCACAGAGCTTTCAGCTAGCTCTGCTATTATCAACACACAAAGGAAATTTTGCATTCATTGCCCTCAGAAGAGTCCTTGTAATTTCTCCTGTATTTTTCATTAGTTTGAAACATTTCTATTGGTTTTGTACTGTTCTGTTAGTTTTTAATGAGGGCCTTTTGTGGTCTACCGTAGACGGAGATCATCTGGAACTGTGTTTATACCAAGCAGGGTTGCCCATGCTTAAAATAAATAGATGTAATGACATAATGATATTGTATTACTGTTATATAAGGTCACTTTAAAAATGTCTCATTAAATCTGTGGTCAGTGAGCTAAATTCAGAGGCACATTGACCCAGGATAGAGGATATATTGACCCAGAAGCATTCTGGAAGAAGGTCTGAAACATTCTCATCCTTTTAATACGCTGATTTTTCTAGCTAAAATCAGGAAAGATTTGGTCTCATGCAGTGATCCACCACTTAGCCCTCTGATCATTGCTTTTCTTCTTTTTTTCTTTTTCATGCTTGTGAAGCACACTGTTGTCAGTCTCCCAGTTTAAACTCAGCTGACCTAGCTAATGATTCCACATACTTTGTCTGAAACATCTTTTTCAATTTGTAATGAGCTGCTGGGGACTTGCATATTATTAAATACAATAGGAAATGTGTGCTTCAGTATTAAGACACGTAAATATTAAGACATCCTTTCAAAAGTAGCCTCTCTAATTCTGTCAGATATTAGAGTAATAAACACTCGCTGCTTAACTTTTTCATGTGTAGAACTTCTTATCATTCTGTGATTCCTGCAAATCTGTAGAGCTATAAAGCAGGACTCACTGCTGTTATCAGCTCACCAGAGAACAAATTAAAGCAGATGAGTGAACTGAGGTTACGGGGCAGGGGAAGAATATCCTGGAGGGAAATGACCGTTTGCAGGAAGACCTAGATTTGTTCTACTGACTTCGATACCAAGTGCTGCTAGTTTCAAAACTAATTTCAGACTTACATGCATCTATTTTTATCTGTGCTTCAGCGCTATTTAACAGGAAAAAGACTGTTGGCTCAGTCAGAACCTTCCCTGCAAAAACAGAGATGAGCCTTGCATATTAGTGCTAATGCAAGATACAAGAAATCTTTTTTTCAACCAATATCCTGATATTTTCAGTCTTTCTTTATGAGGTCTCTTGATTTTATCAGATCTGAGATTTTAGT